AGGAGTGCTCAGCCTCAGTCTAGGAGTGGTTGGCACCACTGCAAGACCTCTTGGCTCCGCTACAGGAGTGCTCAACACCCGTCCTAGAGTGGTCGCCACCACTATAGAACCTCCCGACACCACTCCTGGCGTGCTCGGTATCCCTCTCGAAGTGCTCGACACTGCCCCAGGAGTGCTCACTCTGTCGCTAGAGTGCTCGGCACCTGTTCCCCAGTGTCTCCACCACCGTGGATGACTAGGTGCTCGACGACGAAGGTGCTGGTGAAGCCATCAGCTTCCCCCATGCTCGGACTGTTCTAGTCCCAAGCTGCCTTCTCATCGAACACGACGTCACGCGAGACAAGCACCTTGTCTCCGCGTGGGTTGTAGAGTCGATACGCCTTGGTACCCTTCGCGTAGCCTAGGAACACCATCGGTGTGCTCCTATCCTATAGCTTGGAGAGGATCAGCTTTGTCTTCCTGACGTGGCCGATGCAGCCGAATGTCCGGAGGAAGGACACGCTCGGCTTGCGCCCATACCAAGCTTTGAACAGCGTCTTGCTCGTTAGGGCCTTGGTCGGAGCACGGTTGAGGATGAACACCGCCGTGGTCACCGCCTACCCTAGAACCTTGTTGGCATGCCTTTGGCCTTCATCATGGATCGAGCCATGCCAGCCACCGTCTGGTTCCGCCTCTCCACCATGCCATTCTGTTGTGGCGAGTACGGTGTGGTGTGGTGTTGCACCACACCCTGATCCATGCAGTACGCAGTGAACTCCACCGAAGTGAATTAGCCGCCGCGATTAGTCCTCAGCACATGGAGGTTCTTGCCGCTCTCGGCCTCCACGTGTATCTTGAACTTCTTGATCGTTGCCGCCGCTTCGTCTTTGCCCGTCAGGAGTTGCAGCCACATGTAGCGAATGCAATCATCCATGAGCAGGAGGAAGTACCACCGACCACCGTTTGTAGCTGGCATGATCAGCCTGTAGAGGTCACCGTGGACGAGCTCGAGAGTGTCCTTCACGCGATACTTGGTCGCCTTTGGAAACGGTAGCCTCCTCTACTTCCCGGCCAGGCAGCTGTCACATAGCTCGCCTCCATGCTTGATGTGGGGTAGCCCTCGGACCATCTTCTCCAGCCAACCAAGCGCGTCGAAGTTAAGATGTCCAAACTGGGCATGCCACATCCACGGTTCCTCGGTGTGCCTTGCCGCCAGACACACCGACTGCTCTACCTTTAGGTCGAGCAGGTACAACCGGTTTAGGGACCTCTTCACCTTGGCAAGAAGTCGCTGCTCCTGGTCCCTGATCCTAAGGACTCCATCCTTGATCAGTACCTCGCGACCGCGCTCATCCAGCTGACCAATGCTGATGATGCTGGAACGCAGCTGCGGGATGTAATATACATCCGTTAGCGTGCGGTACTCCCTGTTATGGCACCTGAAGATGATGGTGTCGCACCCTTGGATTGCCACCCGTGAGCCATCACCAAACTTCACCATACCGGTAACATCGTCGTCGAGCTCGGAGAAAGATGCCTTGGAGCCCGTCATGTGGTTGCTGGCACCAGAGTCTAGATACCACCGCTGCTCCTAGTCAGCGCCCACATGTCCGAGGTAGACTTGGGCGCGTGGTTCGTCGAGGTTGATAGCCTTCAGGGCCTTCCCAGGTCCTTCCACCGTCGTCGCCTCTTCCTTCTCCTCGGCCTCGACATCGTTCAGTGCACAGAACGTCGCCATCAGGATAGTGGCCTCATCATCATTATCAGCTTGCGCCAGATGAGCCTCAGCCTTCTTCTCCTGCTTGCGATTTGGGCACTCTCATGCCCAATGGCCTATCTTTCTGCAGCGCCGGCAAGCATTGGGGTCGACCTGCTTCTTCTTCTCCGAAGAAGCCTTGACGCGGCGCTTGCCATCGCCACCGCGGCTAGAGGAGGCTACCTTCCCAGAGTTCCTCCGAGCAGCCCACTCCTCTTTTATCAGCAGCAGTTTGCCGCTATCCTTCGTTGCTGTCGCCTGCTCTAGGCGCTCGTCCACCACCCGCAGATGGCCTGTCACATCCTCAATGGTGAGGGTGGACAAGTCCAGCATCGTCTCTATAGAGAGAGCGATCTGGATGTACTTTGCCGGCATGGAGTGGAGGTACTTGGAGACCGCCTCCTCTTTGTCGATGGTAACATCGTGGCTCTTCAGCTTGCCGATGAGCGTCTGTGGGTGGAGGGAGAAATCCTCTACCGTTTCACCATCCTTGAACTTGAGGTTGGCGTACTCCTGCTTTAGAAGTTGGGCCGTCGCATTCTTTGCGCGGTCGGAACCGATGCACATCGCCGCAATAGCCTCCCACGTCTCCTTAGCAGAGCTCTTCGCCCCCAACGGCTCCCTGTACTCTGCCGGTACAGCAGCGAGGATAGCCTCCAATGCTAACATGTCATCTTTCTCATTGTCGGTGCCCTTATCAACAGCATTCCAGAGTCGTCGGGCTCTGAGCTTGACCTTCATGGTCACCAACCACTCTCCATAGTTGGTGCGAGTCAGCGTCGGTCAACTAGTGCTGCTGACCTCCCGCACCGTGAGAACAACGACCTCCGGTCGTAGCTGGGCAGCCACAGCAGTGCCACTGCTGTCGCCCATTTCTGAACCGTTCGTCATCGCCAGCAGTTAGTCCGACGACGGCGCTTGTACAGCTCTGGTACCACTTGTTGGCCCACAGAATCATCGGCTCAGGTGAGTCGACCACTCACCGGTCTTGTCGAGCACCTGCTAGTGTTGCCGAGCACCCACTAGCTATGCCGACCACGAACAAGTGTTGTCCGACCACACACACTATGGCTAGAGGTAGAAGAAGAGGGAGAACAGAGCATACACACACAGTACAAGCACCAGCGTTGACCGAGCCCTGTATAGGAGATGGCAAATATGAACTCCCTTTGTTGAGTTACAGTGACAAACTATATATACAACTCTATCCATCTAGTCCTAATACAGCTCTCATGCTGCAACAGTGACTAGATAACAGCAGGACTAACTTGTGCGACTGTCTCTGCATGTGACTACAGTACGGCATGTGAGCCTTTCGGCACCTGCCTCTGCAGCGGCTACAGTACAACAGCAGGGAGCCTTTTCGGCGCCGCCTTCCCTTGCTATGAGTTCACACAAAAAAAAACAATAGATTATCTAACATCCTTCCATACAGCACCATCGGGGGCACAGCGTGTTTCCCTGATCACCGATACGCAGATTATTGAACATACTGACAAAGGTTGGGGAGGAGAGGATGTTTAATATCATATTTACAAGAACCATCAGCATTTTGAGGCAACATGAGCTGAAACAATAGCCTTCCAGTTTAGGGTTCAGATTTCACCTATTTGCAAGGATGGAAGAAATTCTTCTTCAGCAGATGCTCCCACTCTGTAGGTGAACCACCATACTGATCAACTGGAAAGGAGATTAGGGCACTTCCTGACACCCTTCTGTGCAAACATGAGAGTCCCCAGCAGTTTGAAGACACACTTGGTTTTCACCAAGATTATGTTCACCATGTACTGCGCTTTCGATGCTCACTTCGTCAGATGTACCTTTGCACCTCATGGGGGTAGCAACATCTGCTGAACCACCTACCTCCTTTTCCTCCCTAGCACAGTTTCCATCACCAAATGTGTCCAGGCCACCTACTGAATCTTTTCCTCCCAAACTGTTGGCAAAGATTCAGATGGTACTTGTAATTGTCTGTTGTGTTTGCATTATGTAGATTTTCCTACCATTTCTGCTGTGTACTCAAGATATATTTTCATGACTTTATCTTAATTTTGGGGTATTAGATGGTTATTACGTATATTGAATGTTCGCAGCCCACAACGCGAAAGTTCCAGCTCATACGAGTTGACTGAAGTCGATTTCATAGCACAATAAAACCAGATCAAGAAGGGTATGTTGCACGTCAGAAATCCTGATAGCCGAGCAAGAGGCTATCCTAAGGGCTAAGGAAATGACTATAGAGCGTGCGTGCGCTCCCTTCCAATAGCAACGAGTCTTCCTTTCCCTTCCCTAATACCATAAGATCTATCGTATTAGATTTAGGCCCGTTCGCTCGACTGTACTCTGTGCACGAAGAGCTCAAGAACGAAGATCCGAGGCAGACCCTTCCAGACATTCCAGAGGGGAGCAGCCGAGCAGGACCAATCCAGTATCCAACAACAAAGACGTGGAGACACCTTTGCCAAAAGAGACAGAAATGGCACCTCTGAATTTCGGCAAATGGAACTCAATTTCACAGTTCACACCATGGGTAATTTTTTCTTTGGTCTCGCAACTATATTTCTTTGAACAATGGTGGAACGGCATGAGGTAATGCTTTATTGTGGTAACCTCTTGTCTTGTGTTGTGAATTGCGATGCTTCGACTTCCCAATGAGTGACTGTTGTGAAATAGCAAAATCCTTATTAATCTTTTACTTGATTATTCGCCAACGAAGTGATATTGTCATATGCTGCAATATTCTATATTCATCTGCTAAGACCAGCAGCATCTGGATTCTGGAATATTACAATTGTCAGGTGATGTACTCTGAATCTTGAGTCAGAGCTTATTTTTGATCCTATCGGACCGAACCCAGGGCCCGTAGTTCTTCTCTCCAAAAAAAAAAAAAAAAAAAAAAAAAAAACGAGTTCCACCTAATGAACAAAAGCAGTCAATCAGGGTCAACAGACTGCACATCCCACAAATATCCAAATTTGCTGGAAGTAAATATATACAATAATTCACTCTCCAGAACATACAAGTGCCGTTTATATAGATAAACTTTGGCATAGATGATAGACCCAAGCAGACAAACCAGACTACTTCCATACAGCACCATCGGGGGCACAGTGTGTTTCCTTGATCACCGATATGCAGATTATTGAACATACAGACAAAGGTTAGGGAGGAGCGAATGTATAATATCATATTTACAAGAAGCATCAGCATTTTGAGGCAACATGTGCTGAAACAATAGCTTTCCAGTTTATGGTTCAGATTTCGCCTATTTGCATGGATGGAAGAAATTCTCCTTCAGCACATGCTCCCACTCTGTAGGTGAACCACCATACTGGTCAACTGGAGAGGAGATTAGGTGCGCTTCCTGAGACCCTTCTGTGCAAACATGAGAGTCCCCAGCAGTTTGAAGCCACACATGGTTTTCATCAAGATTATCTTCACCATGAACTGCGCTTTCGATGCTCACTTCGTCAGATGTACCTTTGCACCTCATGGGGGTAGCAACATCTGCTGAACCACCTATCTCCTTTTTCTCCCTAGCACAGTTTCCTCCATCACCAAATTTGTCCAGGCCACCTACTGAATCTTTTCCTCCCAAACGATCTGCCAAATCATCAGTGTGTGTAAACTTAGAGCACTTCTCACTCAGGGTGTCGCTAATGGCTCCATTGGACACAACACCAAGGCCGTCCCCATTTAATTGATCACTACATGCGTCTTGTTGCTCCTTGTTGGCATCACCCATTGAGGTTTCATTACCAGGTCGAGACTTCAAAATTCTCAGCCTAGCCATAACATCATCGTCAATCCCATCTTCCCTATTTGTTCTCATATCCAGTTGTTGCTTGCTGCTTTCCTGTCCCAATAGGGCTGCACTATTAGGATGGGACTCCAAAATTCCCAGCCTAGCCATAACAGCATCATCAACATTATCTGCACTGTCTGTGCTTGCATGTAGCTGGTGTTTGTTGCTTTCCTGACTCAAAGAGGATATATTGTCAGGACGGGACTTCAAAACTTTCAGTCTCACCATAACAGCATCTTCGGCTGCATATGGTCTCTTGCTTGCTTCTTGCTGCTCCCCACAGTCAATCTCACTGAAGGAGTTCACATTATCAATACGGGACTGCAAAACCTTAAATCGGGCAAACACATCAGCATCAACACCATTGAAAATGCTCCTATTTACAACAGGAGATTGCTCGTCACGAGTATCTCCTCCTTGGCCCTGACAAGCCGCAGCGCATGTAATGGTTTCTTTCCCATGGTTCTGTGGTTTGCTACTGTACATGTATGAGTTAGAGCCTTTACTGCCTTCCAATGAGTCAGGGGCTGCATTGGCAAAAGAAGAAAAACATGAGTATACACAGAATACAAGAACCATTTGAAAATATTAATTTATGTATCCATCTTGCTACTCCCTTCAGCTTACTTCCACAAATGTGTGTCTTCAGCATTCAAAATTGTCCACAAATGTAAACATTTCTGGTATAATCAACTCCTCCCCTCCCTCATCAATATTTAGAAGCAGTTTTATTTTGGTGGCAAGCATGTTTAGCATCAGTATAATCTTGCTGTCTAAAGTTTTAATTAGCACTTGGCGTTTATGGCATCTGTACGAAAGGAAGGCGTTAACTGCATCTCTGTAATCTTGGTGATTGATTGAGGGACATCACAGTAATTTCCCTTCCTCCTAAATATGTCCCAAAAATCCTAGAAATGCATACATTTGTGGAGCGCGGGAGCACCTTTTATTGTGTCGTTGAGGCCTTTTGCTGTCTCGAGCTTCAGGCGAGCATGTTGAAGCTCATATTTGAGTTTACAAGCTGAAGCTTCTGCTTCAATCCACAAGTTTCTATAGATTGACGCCTGAGAAACTTCAGTGTTGTCAAGCATCTTATCCTCCTGGTGATTAGTAAGAACCTGAAACGAAAGGTGCAATGTAAGGCACGTACTTCAGAAGAAATGGCTGTATTAATTCAAATTAAGCAGAAGCATGATGTTCCAAATAATGACTAAAGCTACCTGTGAAACTGTGGCCTTAAATTTTGAATCAGCATTCTCCTGTGCTGAATCTTCATGCATTGACCTCCAAAAGTTGTTCCTCGCAGAATTAATATTTTTGAATTTCATTTGACTCGAGTTGCTCAATCCATCATCAATTTTTTGTTCAACCTTGGAGACAGATGAAACTTCTGCTTCAATCCATAAGTTTCTATAGATTGACGCCTGAGAAACTTCAGTGTTGTCAAGCATCTTGTCCTCCTGGTGATTAGTAAGAACCTGAAACGAAAGGTGCAACATAAGGTACACACTTTGGAGGAAATGTCTGTATTAATTCAAATTAAGCAGAAGCATGATGTTCCAAATAATAACTAAAGCTACCTGTGAAATAGTGGCCTTAAATTCTTAATCAGCATTCTCCTGTGCCGAGTCTTCATGCATTGACCTCCAAAAGTTGTTCCTCGCACAATTAATATTTTTGAATTTCACATCATCAATTTTTTGTTCAAGCTTGGAGACAGATGAAATATGTTTAAGGCTAGAAACCGAAAGGGATTATCTATCTATATTTAATGTCTGGACTCTGGGATGAGAAAGCACCATAGAAAGGAAGGAAATATGCCCATTTCTTGATTCATATTATAAGTTTGGTTTACATTGCATTATGGAATAGTAAACGGTATCTAAATAAAAGCATTTCAAGATCATACCTTTCTTCTTTTGGAACTGGCAGCTGTAAGATTTTGAATGACTGATTGCAGAAGCTCCTCTTCATCTTCCTGTAACGAAGAACCACCCTTGTAGGTCGACAGAAGCACTACTGGCAGATTGTGCATTAGTTTCAGAAATATAGCCCGAGTGCTATAGCTGGATTCGGAAGACATATTCAGCATATTCCCCTCAACGCCTGGATAACATTCAGAAGGGTCTTCACCTCTTTTTTGAGAGCTTTCTTCTTTCTCCACAACTGCAGAAAAAATATTTCCATGTGGGCTTCCTGTTGTTAAATGATCAGTATGAACTCTTACTCTAGGAGTAATAGCAATAGGATTCATCCCACTTTTACTCATTAGTTCTCTGAACATGATACTTTGACACAGATTTCCAAACTTAGTTATACAGTTGAAAACTACTATAGTTCACACAAATGCACCAAATGCCAGCAAGCAAAATGTATCCAAATGTTGTATATATATGCAAAAATGCAGATGCCCACATGCAGGCTTGGCACCAAATTTTCCGCAGGTAGCAGGTAGTGACAGCACCTGTCTATCTCACATAATCTGTCGTGCTGTACTGGCTCCGTTGAGGCTCGATAGCGGTGGCCCACAGGGTGTCATGCCCCAATGAGAAGATATGAAGTGTCAGATTCGAGTGATCTCCTTCACACCAAGTGGAAGTTCGTTGGAACCCCCTAGATAGCAGCTCGACCAATTGAATCCTGCCCAGGCTATTCTTACCTAAGCACGTTTCTTTCTTAACTTGGCAGTCTTTCTTAAGGTTAGGATTCCATTAGAAACCCAGACTTAGCCCTTGTTTAGTTCTCTAAAAGTGCACTATGCAAAAAGAAGATTTTCCGTCACATCAAACTTACGGTATATGTATGGAGTACTAAATGTAAATGTAGACGAAATCAAAAACTAATTGCACAGTTTGCTTTAACTTTGCGAGACGAATCTTTTGAGCCTAATTAGTCAATGTTTGGATAATAATTCACAAATACAAACGAAATGCTACAGTGGAGAATTGTGCACTATGCAAAGTTTGCAGGTGCCGAACTAAACGCGCCCTTACTCGTTGTTTTCACAGCAGCTTATCTCTCTATAGTTACCTTAGGTGTAGAACTTACCCTCTTGGGATCATTGCCACCAACTTCCACATTCGGCTTACCCCGCCGAGTTTAGTTGGTTGTTTGATATAGCTGATAACTTTACTTATTTATAATATTTTTGGCTGCTGGTGCTTCCCATGAATATAAATACGAAACCATATAATACTCGAAACACTATACCAGTGTTCCGTGCGCTTGTGAATCACATAGTTTTGATTCAAGAGCTTAGTGAATGCCAACAATCCCGCTGCGCCGAGACAGAGGGACGAGAGCTGGCGACGGGGCACGGGGCGCATGATCCATCGACTGACAAGATGTTCACCGTCCTGCCAGGACCGGGAGGGAGCAACTGACGCAGCCACGTGCCCATAGAACAAAGAGAAAATAGGACCAAGTAAGAGCATCTCCAACGGGAGCCCCAAAATCAAGGCCACATATGATCTTTGGGGTCGGCCCCATCTCAGAGCTCCAAATAATGCTTCCAACTCCACCATCAGACCCCATATTTCAGCACATATCCTTTTTCCTGTTCTACTTTTTGAAGAAAAATATACAAAAAGAAAAATAAAACAAGGATGCCGATGGAGTCGACCTAGACGGCAGCGCCACTACGACAGCTGTGTTGCCAAACCGGAGGACCGATGTGGGACGAGCTTGGGGAGGTGACCTACGGCGGCGCGCTGGTGCTGTCGACAGAGCCTCGTCGCAGCTCGTGGAGGTAGCTCGGCGGCGCCGGATCTGGTAGCTTCACCAACGTGACCTCCGGCTGGTGCAGGAGGGCGAGGGAAGGCGGCACCGGGCGAGGTAGCGGCCCATCGGAGATGGCGACGGCGTGTGGAGGTGATCTGGCAGTGCCGAATCTGGCAGCTCTATCGTCGCGACCTCTAGCGAGCGCATGAGGACGAGGGTGTGCAGCGCCGGGTGAAAGTTCCCTGTTTGTTTTTTTTTAGTGACAACCTTAGGTGGACTAATATGTGTTTGAGTGAGATACACAGGTGATTAGTCCACAAGTACATCATGTGTGAGCAACCTATGCCATAGAGGTGAAATGGTTTGGATTTGTTGCAACGCTCACACATGTGATGAAGGGGCTCATTGCATATAAGACATGACATGGAGTCATGTGACTAAGGTGGAGAAGATCAAAACAAGACTTGGCTCGACGGACCGGTTGCAAGTGTGAAGCGCAAGTTGAGTGATGACTTGATGTCGATGGACCAAGGCAACGGTGAAGAGCAAGTGAAGTCAAGATCGATGAACCAATACGATCACGTGATGATATGAAGTGGATCATATCATTTGTGATTGGTTAGTGCATGTGTTGCATCAACATCGGATGAGATGGAATGAAATGCGTAAGACAAAGGTATAACCTAGGGCATTTCATTTCACCGGTCATAAGTGTGTAGAGAAATTTATGACCGGGTTTAGGATAGATGGCCGTACTATTAAGAGGGGCAAACTTGTTTGCATATCGGTCATCTAGTGCCACTCGAGTGATCTAATTTTGCATCGTTTCTAGGATCGAGTGGTGTGGCAAGTTGAGTGGTTAACTCCTTAAAAAATATTTGTGAAAAGCTAATGCACATACACATGGTGGTGTACACTTGGTGGTGTTGGCACATTTACAAAGGGGAAGAAGTTGGAGTTGATGTAGATCAACTCGGTGAAGAAAAGGAGGCGAAAAGAGGTCTCTGGAGGTGACCGAACGCTGGCCTCGGTAGGACCGGACTCTGCCGGGCGCGTCCGGTTAGTGTGAGCAGAAGAGGCACGGTCTCGGTCAAATGACCGGACGGTGTTGCCTGGAGGTGACCGGCGTGACGCTTTTGTATCTGGTCTGACGTGATGTACGCTGACGTTATGGCGTGAGGAGCGGCAGTGACGCGTGGCAGACAGAGAAGGACCGAACTCGGACGTTGAGTCCAATCATGACTAACCTGACGCGTTCGATCGTGTTTTGTCCTCCTCAGGAGCTCTCTGGAAACGATCAGACGCTGGTTGTGGTGCGTCAGGTCTTTGTGTGGTGGCGCGTCTGGTCTTTGGCTCGGTGGCACGCGGAGGCGCATGAGCAGACATAGGAGGCGCGCGTCAGGTCAAGCCTTCGCTGCGTCCGGTCATCACTTGACTGTTGGCGTGCGAAGTAGCCGTTGAAGATCAACGCGCAAGCTTGAACCACGGGGACACGTGGCAGAAATCAAGTGACCGGACGCTGGGTTTGTGCGTCCGGTCAGGTGGACCTGCGCGTCCGGTCGATGCGCAGAAGGCCCAGTGAAGGGGTAATGGCTCTTTTGAGCCATGTGGTTATAAATAGAAGTTTTGGCCGGCCTTGGGCCAGTTGCTGAGCACACTAGAGCCTTGGTGGCTTGTGTGGTGGTGCTTGGGAGCCCTCCATTCACTTGAGCTTGATAGTGATCATCTGATCGAGTGAATGAGTGATTCTAATGTGTTGCAATGATAGATTGCATTGAGTGACGCTAGGTGTTCGAGTTGCAAGCCGGTGGTGCTTGTTACTCTTGGAGGTTGCCACCTCCTAGATGACTTGGTGGCTTGTGGCTTCGTCGAAGCACGCAAGGAGATTGTGCGGTGCTCCATAGAAGTGCTTGTGAGGGGTATTGTGCTCGCCCCGCGGGAATCGCGAAGAGCAACTCTAGTTGAGCGAGACGCGAAGGGTGACAAGTGGTCCGGCCGTGTCAAGTGTTAGAGCTTGTGGTAAGCACTCCACATGGGAGAGAGTGACTTGCAGGTCACCACTAGCAAGAGGACCGGCGGCAACCTTGGAGCTTGTCTCAACAGGGACTAGCGTGAAGACAAGCACGTGGATCTCGGGATAAAAATCACCGTGTCATCCTTGTCTTCCTATTGGTTTGCATCCTCGTTACTTCATTTACATTGTTGTTGTGTAGTTGCTCTTGTAATTAGTTAGCTTGTGTAGTTTGCTAGTTACCTTCTTGCTTGTGTAACATAAAAATAGCTCTCTTGCGTGGCTAATTTGGTTTGAGTAACCTTGTTAGTCACATTGCTTAATTTGTGTAGCTAAGTAATTTGCGCTCTCTAATTTAACTTGTGTAGTCTTGTTATTGAGCATTGCTAGTGAACTTAGGTGCTTTGTGCTTTTACATCACTAGTTGTGAAGGAGCTCCCTGAGTGCTTGAAGTACTAGTAGCATAGATTTATTTGACCTTGCTTTTAGAATTGATTAGGTGAGCTCTAGCTAGCCCGGCACCTTTGTTGTCTAATTAAGAATCTTTTAAGGTGCTTGAGAACTTAGATAGAGGGGTATAGTCTTGGCACCGACAGTTTTAATTTCGTATTTATTTCGGTTAAACGGCGTGTTTAATTT